ACGCGCTGCTATTTGGAACCCTCTGCCCAAAAATGACCCCCGAGGCCGCCTATAGGTGCCCAACAGGGCAGGCCGAAAGAGGCCCCTGGGAGGCCCAAAAGAAAACACAAAGAGGCTCCCAAGAGACCCCAGGAGGACTCCGGGAAACCTCCAGGAGACTCCGAAGAGGCTCCAATTGGGCTCCGAGAGACTTCGAAAGAGACCTGGGCCCCAAGATGCCCCAACATGGTTGGTAAGCTATCACAGCGTGAGGAGACAACACGAAAACGGTCTGGGCACGTCCCAGCAGGACCCGAGACGGCTCAAGAGAGTTCCTGTTTCTTCCATATGTCTTTCTGCCTCCTTTTTGTCTTTCCTCGTCCCGCCTGCACGTGCTCCGCCAGCCGGCGTGACAGCGCGTGCATGCCGTTTCAAGGCGGCTTTCTCTCCGTGCTCCGTTACCGCTCCTTCGTCCTGCACATGTTCCGCCAGTTGGCGTGTCAGCGCGTGCATTTTATAGCACGGCTGTGTTCCTCCTTCGTCCGTCTTTTCTTCGATCTTCCTGCAAGTGCTCCACCACCCGGCGTGACAACGCGTGCATTATGTGTTAAGGCAGTTTGTTCTCCGTCCTCTGAGTTTCTTCTGCACGTGTTCCGCCAGCTGGCGTGGCAGCGCGTGCATTTTATTTCAGGGCAGTTTTCGTCTCGTCCTCCGTCATTCCTCGTCCCTCCCGCACATGTTCGGCAAGACAAGCCAAGGACATGTGACGACATCCAAAGACCAGCAACCTACGGCCTCGACATTTCATCATAAAGCCAGTCAATGCCCCAAGCCTGTTCAGCGATCTCCTCGACGAACCCACAAGCCAAGACCTGCGCGTCGTGACAACGAAGAGGCAAACACCTGCCCCCCCCACAAGAGCGCCCGAAAAGCCCAAAAGCCAGCCCAAGGGAGCCCTGCGACATCCCATAACCGGCCCACGACGGACACAACTCCTCTCCGATTGCGAGTCGCCTGGAAACCCCGACCTCCGTTTCATCACAGCGCCATGGGCTGGACTAGAACCCAAGCGCGCGCGAAGCGCGCGCGTGGTTCTAGTATATATATATATATATATATGTAATATATATATATATGTATGTATGTATGTATGTATGTATGTATGTATGTATGTATGTATGTATGTATGTATGTATGTATGTATGTATGTATGTATGTATGTGTATATATATATTTATAGCGGGGGACCAGGCCCCAAAGCCCCGGGGCCGGAGCCCCGACCACAAATGTGTGTGCCGAGGGCCGGGCCAGCACCATTCTCAGGCTGTCTTTCTTGCAGGGGTTCTGAGACTTCTGTGCATGGCTTGTGCCACTTTGCACCACTTTCAGCGGCTGTCCAGCAGCATCCAGTTGCCACTCAAGCTCGCCGAATCGAGCAAGCATCCTTGCCAGCCATCCTCTTCCGACCGTCAACTCAGATATTCCCTTTCCTCCTCCTCCCCCTCCTCCTCCTCCTCCTTTTCGGTCGGTTCCCGTTTTGTCCGGTTCCCCTTCTTCCTCGCTTTTTGGACCGAGGGGCACGAGTTCGCCGTGGGCGAGAGGCTCAGGCCCAAGTGTGCTGTCCAGGTTTTTGCCAGGAATCGGTAGAAGGAACGACAGCAGGTTCTGAAACCTTTGTGCTGGGCTCGGACAATTCGCTCTACTGTCAGTGGCTCTCTGTTGTGCAGGGCTTCTGATACTTCTGTGCGCAGCTCGTGCCCATTTGCACCATTTTCAGTGGCTGTTCGTTGTCCAGCGCTTCTGAGACTTCTGTGCAAGGCTCGCGCCAATTAGCACCACTCTCAGGTTGTGTGTTTTACAGGGCTTCTGAGACTTCTGTGCATGGCTTGTGCCACTTTGCACCACTTTCAGTTGCTGTCCGGCAGCATCTGCTTGCCACTCAATCCGCCGCTTTGGGGGTGCTGCGTGGGTCCTATCCACCAGCATGTTTGTACTGCGGTCCACGAGAGCCGCCGAGGGCTCCTGGCGCCCAGCTGTGAGGCGTTCATCTCGGGGTCTTGTCCACCGACAACAAAAAATGCCGCCAGAGGGGTCACAGAGGACTTCCATGATGGCAAGTTCAGTCAAAAACCAGCATCAGAAAAGCGTGAAGTATTGATAATGATAGTTTTCCAGATTTCCGGGTTCTCCTGTTCTTCCGCGCGGGCCCCATCCAGGGACGAATGGTCGAGCACATTTTGTCGCGCAGGTTCTTTGCGTGATGTGCGCCGAGCATCGGAGCGCCCTCGGAGATTCCAAGCTGCATGCTGCGTTGATCTTGGGGAGTCCGCGAGTCGCAGCTGCCGTGGCGCTGTTTCTGAGGCAACCCCTTCGAGTGTTGTTCGCGGGCGCAACGCGCGGCGCGCTCTGCGCCGAATCGCGCGCGTCGCGGTGCGTGAATCAGCCGGCCGCGCCCGTCGGACCGCCCGAAAATTATTCCTGGATTGTAGAATGCTTCAGGAAACGCTTCCGTTTTTGTTGCGCAAGCGGTTCCGGAATTGTTCTAAAGGAGCTAGGTAATTTCCGGGGAACAAATGACAAACTTTTGAGGGGTGGAATGCGCCCGACTTGCCTACAGCTTTACCTAACAATGTCCTAAGAACTGTTTGTGGCTTCCACGAATTGTTCTTAGAACATTTATGGTTGGAGCTGTCTTGTTTTAACACATTGGAGGGTATTTTGGGGTTCTAAGCACGTTTTGTGGTAGGACTAGGAATGCCGGGACGGTCGGGCCCTGCTCAAGAAATATGCCGGACATTTTCAAAAACGTTTTCGGATTTGTTTCTCAAGTTTACCTCCGGAATATTTTTCACTGTCGCGCGAGATTTGCCTTACCAGGTCTTTGGACATCCGCCGAGGCGCGCGGTGCGCGGCGGCGGGCGATGGGGCGGTGCGCCGCCGTCTCCCCCGCGCTCGGCAACGAGAAAGGGGATCAGCAAGTGCCAAATAGTCCCCGACGGGCGATCACTCGATTGCGAATGGGTGACCGACCAGCGGCGCCAGCCAGAGTAGACAATATTCGACGCAGAGTGTACCCCGCGCGATGGCCGTTAGAAATCCCGGAACCCGCGGAATAGCACGCTGTGTCAATATATGTTTCTCGTCCTACAGCAGGTTCCCCACTCAGTGTTTTGTTTTTTTTTCTGGCGTTCCCATTTGTTGCAAACTTGTGGTTCCAAGATGGCCTCGGAGGCCCAACTGGTCCAGAAGAGGGTTGCAATAGTGCCCAAGGATGGCCCAGGATTGCCGCGAATACCATTCCTCAGTGCGCATTCGGACACCAAGGCGTGCGCTTCCAAGTCAAGGATTCGATCATCCGGACATCCCCCTCTGACTGGCTATACGCTTGGCCCATGGCGCGTCGAATCTGGGCGCGCGCGAAGCGCGCGCGATGTCTTTAGCCTCTTTACATGTACATCCGAAGACCGAAGGGTCTTTTCTTGAATTCGGAAGGCCACGCCGGTGCCCGCGGTGACTTTCGAGCTGGTCATGACTATGGGGGACATGAGTCTATGTGTGTCCGCTGTGACGCTCGGGCTTCGAGGGGGGAGTTCCTGGAGTGGGCGGGGCCCGCAATGACAATCGAACCTTCCACTGTCATGAGAGTATTACGAAAGTGGGCGAGAGGGCAATTTGGTGGGTTATGCGTGAGAGTAATGTTCAGCATTCGTTGTTGTTTTCTGGGGTTATTGACGTTTGCTATTGCGCAGCAGTGGTCGATGACCAACGTTCGTCGACACAATCAGGCAACACTTGGCGCACATCGGCGCTAGTAGGCGCTAAGAGGGACAGTGCTAGACACGAATAGGCGCGTATTGGGCGAAGCCTGTGTTAAACACATCTTCACACATAATACACAAAACCGCAGTGACGCTCGAGCTGGTAGTGATAGGATGACGACGGCGACGATGACGACGACGATGACGATGACGATGGCGATAACGATGGCGATGACGATGCTGATCAGCATGATGATGGCGACGACGATGGCGATGATGATGGTGATGATGATAATGCTGATGACGATGTTGATGACGATGATTGTGATTATGATGACGACGACGGCGACCATGATGATGACGATGATTACGATGATGACGATGATTATGAAGATGCTGATGAAGATGCGGATGCTGCTGATGATGATGGTGATGCTATATGAAGGGGATAATGATGATGCTGATGATGGTAATGATGATGATGAGGACGATTGCGACGCTATCGATGATGATGGTGACGATGATAGTGATGATGATGATCATCATCATGCTGCTGATGATGATGACGACGATGGTGATGGTGATGATGCTGATGCTGATGCTGATGCTGATGCTGATGATGATGATGATGATGATGATGACGACGATGACGATGACGATGATAATCATGATGATGTTGATGCTGATGATGATGATGACGATGGCGATGACGATGGCAATGGCGATAATGATGATTTTGCTGATGATGCTGCTGATGATGAAGACGATGATGATGATGATGATGATGATGATGATGATGATGATGATTATGATGATGATGATGATGATGATGATGATGATGATGATGATGATGATGATGATGATGATGATGATGATGCTGATGCTGATGCTGATGATGATGATGATGATGATGATGATGATGATGATGATGATGATGGTGATTGATCGATTCGAGATTGCTTGGTCTTGTGCGGCGGGTCCGCCGCGCCCGCGTCGTCGTAGGCGTCGCCAAATCCTCGCCGCGTGCTGCCGCCAGCGTCCTCGTCGCCGCCGCCGCCGCCACCGCCGCCGCCGCCGCAGTCGTCGTCGTCGTCGTCGTCGTCGTCGTCGTCGTCGTCGTCGTCGTCGTGGTTGTCGTCGTGGTCGTCGTCGTATTCGCATTCGTCGTCGTCGTCGTCGTTCGTCGTCGCGCGACCCTCCACAAAACCGGCCGCCCTCCGGGTGGCGGCGGCGGGACCGCGTTGGCCGCCCCCCTCTGCCGAGGCCCGCGCGCCTGCTGGTCTCCCCGAAGATCCTGCAGCGCGCGGCCCCGGCCGCGGCAGCCGGCCCCACCCAGGCCCGTGGCCTCGGCACCGGCGGGGACGGGGGCCGAGGAGGGGGGACGGCCCCTCCTCGGAGTCGGCGGGGGGTTCGAGGTGGCCCAGCACTGGTTCCGGCCAGCAGGGAGCGGGGGCGAGGTTCGAGGTTTTGGGTCCGAGGAGGTCTCGGGGACTCTTCGGCCTGGGGCCGCTTTCGGGCCGCAGGACCGTCAAAGATTGAGCTGGAGCGGAAAATTTACCAGATGGACCCTGAGGAGAGGCGGCCCGGGGGCCGATTTTGCGTGGATTTGCTTCCATCCCCCTCGCTTAACCAGTTTCCTCGGGGGCCGCCCGGCTCAGACCCGCTGGCCGCCTCCAGTGGGGAACGGCTCCCCCGCCTTCCCCCACACTCATCCACCGTTTCATCCTATGCCTCTTCTCCTCCAGTCCTAGTTCTCCTTCTCGGCCTCCTCATCGACCTCTCCCTCGTCCCCTCCCCCCCCCCACCCGGAAGAGGAGGAGACTGGGGAAAGAGAAAAGGGCGGGGGGAGGGCAAACGGCGGGCGCGGGAGAGCGATGGAGGCAGGGCTCGTCGTTCTGTCCCTCCTGCCTCACCTCTCGGCTTCAACGGTGTGAGCTCGTGCCCCGCAGTGCGCATCGCATATGCACAGCAGGCAGGCTGTTACCTGTCTCTGCCGCATCCCGCCGCCGCTTCTAACCAAACGAGGCCAGAGTTGTGGGCTCCCAGTCGTGTCTTGCCTCACCCTGCCCCTCCTCCCGCCTCTCTTGGACTCCTCCCAGCCCGGCCCCTCCTTCCCGTCTCTCCGCTGCATGGTCCCTCCGCGGACCCACCGGAGATCAGTTGAAGTTGGCTGCCAGCAGGCATCCATCACACAGCCGTTGCTCCGCGCTCCGGCGCCGCCGCTGGGCTCTAGTGGGGCCAGCCCCCCGGCCGAATGACCGGCGCCTCGCCCCGTCTCGCCTCATCCTCCTCCCAAACCGCTCCTCGTCCCCGCTCCTCCCCCTGGGGCGACTGACCGGCGCCGCGCCTCGCCTCGGCCGTCCTCCTCCCTCTCCTCATCGCTCCTCCTCCACTCTTCTCGTCACTCCCCCACGGCTGCCCCCTCCTCCTCGCCCTCGCCGGAGGGCCCAGGGCTCTCCCCCGCGGCGCCGCAGCTGAGGAGCGGACCCGAGGTTCCTGGAGCGGACTTCCTTCCGCCCCCCCCCCCCCCACCAATACATTCAATTCCCAGGAAGCCCTGGGGGAGGGCTAGGGTCCTTGTCCTGGGTTCGGCATACAAGCTTCCCTCCCTGGGGCGTATGTTTTGTGTACTACGCGTGGCCCCGAGCGGTGGAGTATGACTCTGGCGGGGAGGGTGTGGTATCGGAGGGCGTCAAGTATACACCTGCACCGATCCTGCCCAGGCCGATCCTGGGTCCAGGATCGGTCCTTCCTGCCCAAACTAGGAGGGCGTCTACACCGATCCTGGGCCCAGGATGAGTCTCGCCATGATTGGTGTTAGTGTATAGTGTACCTATACGACCGCCCTGCGGGCGATAAGGAGGTTGGGGGGGATTGCGATCAAATGCCCACCCTGACTTGAATTGATGGATTGGGTTGGGTGGATTGGATTGGATGGGATGAGATGGATCGGAAAAGATCAGATGGGTTGGATTGGAAGAGATGAATTGGATGCGATAAGATGTATTGGATTGGCCCGCCGCAGACGCAGAAACACATGCATGTATGGATTGGGCCGGATGGATTGGATTGGGTGGGGTAATATAAGATAGGACAAGATGGATGTGATAAGATAATATATATTGGATTGGACAATATGTATTGGATAAGATAAGCTGGATTGGATAAGAATGCCCGCAGCAGGCGCCGACAAAAATGTATTGATGGATTGGGTTGGGTGGATTGGATTTGATGGGATCAGCTGATTGGATAAGCTGAAATGGACTTGATAAGATAAGATGGATTGGATCGGCCCGCCGCAGGCGCAGAAACAAATGAATTGATGGATTGTGTTGGGTGGATCGGATTGGGTGGGATAAGATAAGATGGGGCAAGATGGATTTGATCAGATAAGATATGTTGTATTGGACAATATGTATTGGATAAGATAAGCTGGATTGGATAAGAATGCCCGCAGCAGGCGCCGACAAACATGAATTGATGGATTGTGTTGGGTGGATTGGATTGGCTGGGATAAGATAAGATGGGGCAAGATGGGTTGGATAAGATAAAATGTATTGTATTGGACAAGATGGATTTTGATAAGATAAGCTGGATGGGATAAGGAAACCCGACGCAGGTGCCGAAAACAATTTTTATTCTGAAATTAGTGACTTGCGTTAGCGCCGGGACACCCTGAACACCCGGGACACCGCCTGGCCCAACTGGGACACCTCCCGGCCACCGGCGGACGGGAAACGGACCTTCGCTCCTACTGACACCACCGGGGACACACGGGACACCGCCCGGCCCACTTCGGACACAATTCCCAGCCACCGGCGGACGGGAACGGACCTTCGCTCCTGCTTCGGCCCAGCTACAGGAGGACCACGCGCAGCTTCGCCTCGCCCGCACGCACGACACGAGCACGAAACCGGAACCGATTTCCCGGTGGGGGGTCTCCGTTTCATTGCGACCTCACCCCCCAACCTCCGATAGTCAGTTGGTGCCCTCCTGTGGTGTACAACTAACTCTTGAGGATTCCTCCACCGGCCGGCCTCTCGGCAAGGTGGCCCCGAGCGCCGCCGGCGCCGACGCTGCGCCAGTCGCTGCGCCAGACGCTGCGCCAGACGCCGCGCCAGGCCCCGGCGTGCCGGACCTGCTGCCGCCTTTGTTGCCGCCGGTGCTGCCGCCGCAGCCCCCTTCGCCTCGGGGCAAACGTCAGGAGATGCTGGCCTCCTCCTCCTCCTCCTCCTCCTCCTCCTCCCCCTCCTCCTCCTCCTCCTCCTCCTCCTCCTCCTTCTCCTCCCCCTCCTCCTCCTCCTCCCCCTCCTCCTCCTCCTCCTCCTCCTCCTCCCTCCTCCTCCTCCTCCTCCTCCTCCTCCTCCCCCTCCTCCCCGTCCTCCTCCTCCTCCTCCTCCTCCCCGTCCTCCTCCCCGTCCTCCTCCCTGTCCTCCTCCCCTGATGAAGCGCCAGTTCGGGCCGAGCATCGCTCACGTCCGAGCCCGCGCCTCGGGAGCCCCTTGCTCCTCCTCGCGGGCCTCGCCTCTCTCCCCTCTCTCCCTTCGGCCTGCGCGCGGGGTGGGGGAGGCGGCCGCGGGCCGTGCCGGCCCATCCGCTATCGCATCGCGGAGGAGGAGGAGGAGGAGGAGGAGGAGGAGGAGGAGGAGGAGGAGGAGGAGGAGGAGGAGGAGGAGGAGGAGGAGGAGGGGGGGGGTTCTCTGGCGCGGAGGCGGCGAAGGTCGCGCGTCGGTGCTGCTGTGATGAGCTTGCTCGCTTCCTCTCCTTCTCCTCTCCTTCTCCCTCCTCCCTGCCGCTGCCGCCGCTGCCGCTTCTCCACCATATCTTGTCGTACTGGTGTTGCTGATCCGCTCCAGTTGGAGCTGCGCCCGTGGGGATTTCCCGAGTGCATGGGCAGATTTTGCGCGATACCGAATGTTGTCGCCCGAGCGTGCTTCGCATTGCCTTTTCTGCTTTCTTCTTTCTCTGTTCCTCCCCTCCTCTTCGTGCCATTCCTCGCATGGCCCTGTCTCATCGCAGTGTCGGCTCCAGTTCTGGGCTCATTACATAGAGTAATGTGAGTTTATATTTGGCGGCTGTGTAGGCCCTGGGGCGCATAAACCTCCGACTGTACGTCGGTGGCCGAGGGCGGTTGCATTGCTGAATTTCCCCTCTCCCTCCTCGTCCTCCTTGTCGTGCCCCTCCTTGGTGGTGCTTTTGAGCCCCCTTCCCCAGACAGCGCAAGCATCGCCACAAGTTTCTTCACGAGCCAAAGTCTCACGTGCTGGCTCACCTATTGCAGGTTGGCCCTCGCGCGACTCCGGGTTTGCTCGGTGCATATTGCCGGCATCTCGTCACCCGTGGTTCGAGTTTGTTGCGTTCTCGCGCGTTCATAATAGCCCCCTGGAGGGGCAGCGGATCAGTCGGGTGCGCGGTGGAAAAAAAAGAAAAAGAAAACAAATGAGGATGATGCTGATGGTGAGGTGGATAAAGTCGACGATGTCCTCGTGTATCCCCCCTCTTGGGCTGTGGAGTTGTCTAGGTTTACTGCCCCCGCCCCCATCCCCCAGCGATGCTCTAAAGAGGAGACGGGGCGGGGGCGAGGGAGACAGCAGCTCAAAGCTCGAAGTTGGAGGATGTCGAGGGGGGAGGGAGGAGGAGGAGGAGAGGAGGAGGAGGAGGGAGGAGGAAGAGGAGGAGGAGGAGGAGGAGGAGGAGGGGAGGAGGGGAGGAGGAGAGGAGGAGGAGGAGGAGGAGGAGGAGGGGACAGGTCAACGACAGGGGCGCGAGGAGGAGCGCGCTGCGCGCATTGCGGCCTGGGCTGGAGGGCCGCCCTTCTCCAGGGGGCCGTGCGGGGGGCGCGAGTACGATCGCTCCTCACCTGACCTGACCTCCTCCTCCTCCTCCTCCTCCTCCTCCTCCTCCTCCTCCTCTCCCTCCCCCTCCCCTCCTCCTCCCCCTTCCCCTCCTCCTCCTCCTCCTTCCTCCCCCTCCTCCTCCTCCTCCTCCTCCTCCTCCTCCTCCTCCCCCTCCTCCTCGACAGAGGCGACGCCGACTGGGGCCTGTGCCCCCCGGGTGAGCCAGTGCAGCAGTCAGGCGATCGCAAACATGGATCAAGGGATCGCGTCCCGTTTCCACTGGAACTCGCGGATTTTTCCGCCGCTGGACGCGGCGGCACCGGCCGCATTTTGGGGAGGGCACCTCCCCCGATCCATGGATTTGGCGACCGCGCGCCAAATCCATGGATCGCCAATCCATGCTTGCCGCCCCCGAAGCAGCAGCGACGAGCCATGGGAGGCCAGGTCGGCTTGGATGCCCTCTCCCTTTGTCGAGGGTTGCTAAGGGTGTCCCTGGCCCAGGGCCAGGGTGCGCCCAGCTTTCCGCTCCCCTGGGGCACCTCTGGCCTGTGGCACTTCTAGCAACACCCGACCCCTGGGTCGACGAGATCTACACACATCCACTCCGCCCACCCGGCCAGGCCTCACTGGGCCAGAGAGCGGTGCGTGCGCCCCCCCGGCTCGGCCAGGGGCCAGGGATGTATGTGCACTGCACCTGGGCTCCGGAGGGGCCTGGCCAGGGGGGCAGTGGATGTGGCCAGGGCCTGCCAACCCTCCCCCGCGGCCAGGGCCTGCCGCGTGACGGGCCGCGCAGCTCGGCGGCCGCCCCGCGGGTCGCTCAGCCGCCCGGACGGTTCCCCTCGGGGCCCTCGGAGCATCGTGGTCGTCGTGGCCGTCGTGGTTTTTGTCGTCGGGTAGTCCCAGATCTTCGACGGTATGTCTGATCTTCAACCGGCATGTCTTTCATTGATGTCGGCCCTCGGTGGCCGTTTTCGGGCCCCAGGACCAAAATTTAACCCAGGGCGAAAAACTGGCCTGGGAAAGCGATTTGGACCCCTGGGGCCGCCCAGGAAGCAGTCGTCGCCCCAGTCGTTGGTCTTGGTCGTCGTCCTGGTCGTCGTCGTCCTGGTTGTCGTCGTCGTCGTCGTCGTCGTCGACGTGTTGGTCGTCGTTGTCCTGGTTGTCGTCGTCGTGGTGGTGGTCGTCGTCGTGGTGGTGGTCGTCGTCGTTGTGGTGGTGGTGGCGGTCGTCGCCGTCGTCGTCTTTGTCGTCGTCTTCGTACTGGCCGTCTCCCGCCCCTCCCGGCGCGCGCGGGAGAGCGCACGCGGGGGGGAGAAGGACGGGGGGAAGGGGGCAAGGATGGATGGGGGAGGCGGAGGAGACAGGTTCGTGTTGGGCGCGGGAGGATCTGGGATCAGGCCTCCTTCCCTCTTCCCCCTCTCTTCTCCCCCTCCTCCTCCTCCTCCTCCTCGTCCTCCTCCTCCTCCTCTTCCTCCGCCCGCACCTTTTCCTCATCATAGCATCCCTGTCGGGTGGCCAGACGGCGTACGCGGAATATGAAACGGAGGACCAGGGGAGCGTGACCATGGAGAGCCTCTCGAAGCTCGGCATCCAGGAGATGGGCCAGTTGGCGCGCCTGTGCAACTGGCTGATAGATGTTATCCTCTCTCCGCTGTTTCTGGATAGGCAGAGGTGGTCCGTAGGTGTTTTGATCAACGGCATCCTGTTCAACCGCTTGTTGTGGGCCGAAAACATAGTTATTATTGCAGACTCATGCTCGCAGCTAGCCCATCTGATCCAGGCTCTTCATGCCCTACTGTGGTCAGCAGGCTTCGCGCTGAAGCTCAAGGGTTGCCAAATCCTCCCAGGCATGGGCGTCGAGGATTCACCGCCTCAGCTGCGTGTTCACACCCAGCAAGGCCTCCTGGAGCTGCCAGTTGTTGAAGAGCTCGAGCTTTTAGGAACGATTCTAGACAGACGAGGCTCCACCAACAGGGCGTGGCAGCACCGAACTTGCAAGACAGAAAAAACATGGAATCTATTAACAAGCTCATTCACTCGATGCACGTGAGCCGGGCAATGCAAGGCACGGGCTATGGCCAGAGGACTGTCAGCGAACCTCTTGTACGACGGGGCCGCGTGGACACTGAGCGAGCCGACTCTGCGACGCATCAGAACTTGGTAAAAATATCACATCAGACGTGTCTCGAGACTGAGGTGGAAAGACGGCTTGGAAGGCAAACGTTCATATACATATAACGGCGCACCGGGCCCGGGGGCAGAGGGCCGGAACCTCGACCGCAAATGTGGGCCCCGGGGCCCGGGCCCACCTTTGGGAAGCCTATATAATCGCCCCGGGGGGCCCTCAGACAGCAATCCCGGCGGCCCCAGACGGTCTCGAGACACCCCCAAGACGCCGTCCAGGGGTCTGTGGCGACGCGCGAAGTGTTTCTAACTGCCCCGGAGGCCTCCAAGACGCCCCAGGATGCCTTTAAGATGCCGCCCATGAGCGCCCCGAGGGGGCAAAATCGCTGATTTTCATGTTTGTCCAGTGTTTTTTGCATTCTCGCTGTTTCGTGTGTCCTGCGATAAAGCACCGCCGAAGAGGCCCCCCAAACCGCTCCAAGATGGCCCAAGAGGCCCCCAAGAGGACCCCAAGACGGCCCAAGAGAGCTCCGAGACGGCCCCAGAGCCGCCCAAGACGGCGCAAGAGGGTCCCAAAAAGACCCGGCCCAAGAGGGGCCCAAGAAAGGGAATGCGAACTGAAACATTTAACTTTCCGCCCCAAGAGGCTCCAAGCGGCCCCCAGGAAACCCTCTCCCCTCCGGGGGTGGCGGGGCGACCCGCGGGCGGCCGGGGCTGGGCGCAGCGCGCCGGTCCCCCCTGAGGCTCTAGGGTCGCCGCTGGGCTCGCGCAGTGGCGGCACGAGAAAAGCCGCGGAGTAGAGGAAGAACGCGTACATCGGAGGAGGAAAAGGTACCCATACCTCTACCCCCTCGCCCGTTTTCCCCTTCTCGGGCCTTCCGGGAGGCCCTCGTCGCCACCGCTGGATTTGCCTCGAAATCCTGGTCAGAACGCACCCCGGGAGAGGTCCAGGGAGTAGCGGTATCGGTACTTTTTGGTCTCTCCAGCACAGTAGGGGCGCGCATCAGGAAACCAACTGCTTTTGGTCAGGGTAACCTGGGCTTCTTCGCTCCGCGCGCTGCGCAGTGGCTTCATGCGGCTGTTGCAGAAGCTGCTGCGTTCACTGTGCTCTGGGTTCCCCCACATGTGCATCTCGCGCGCGGGTTTGCATGGCTCGGTTTCTGGGGAGGTTTCTTTGGATTTACTGATACTGCTATTCTTGCCTCGTTTTTGCATGTTTGGGCCTCCGGAAAGGCCCTCGTCGCCACGGCTGGATTCGCCTCGACGTTCTGGTCAGAACGCACCCGGGAGAGGTCGGGGGAGTAGCAGTATGGTTACCTTTCGGTTCCCCCAGGTGGACCGTGGGCGAGAGAAATATCCACATCTACGGACTGGCGGTCTGGATTTCTCGGTCACGGCCCCACGGATACAGGGTGGAACACATCCATGGGATCGCGCTTCGGGATACAGGCAGCGAGGGCATGGATGTGGATCTGTTGGTCGGTCGTGGAGGAAGGGTGAGAAGGGAGGGCGGATATGCGAGGCTCTTGATTCGAGACTTGTCATGGTAAGGCCGCGGCCGAATCCAGAACGTTGTTTTTCTCCAGCCATCATGTGGAGTTGGGTCCTCGTTTTGACTCGTCAGCGCCTCGCGTCTCACTCCTCCTCCCGCTGCCCCATCCTCCCTCCTCTCATCCTTGCCCCTGCCCTCCGGGTGCCCATTTCGGCACACCACTCACACGTTTCGTGGCCCCATTGGGAGCTCGAAAGGAGGCCCAACTACCAAAGTCCGCCTGGCGCCGCCGCCTCATTACAGCACACCCCTGACACGTTTCGTGGCCCCATCGGGAGCCCAAACTAAGGACCAAATCCTAAAGTCCGCATGGCAGCGCCGCCCCATTTCGGCACTCCTCACACGTCTCGTGGCCTCACAGGAAGCTCCAACTAAGGCCCGAATGCCAAAAGTACGCATGTTGGCGCCGCCTCATTTTGGCACGCCCTAACACGTCTCGCGGCAGGGAGCCCCAACTAAGGCTAACATGCCAAAGTCCGCATGGCGGCGCCGCTCATTTCGGCACATCCTTCACACGTTCTGTGGCCACATACGGAGCCCCAGCTAATGCCCAAATGCCAAAGGCCGCTTGGTGGCCCTCATTTCGGCACACCCCTCACGTTCCGTGCCCCCGGAGGGAGCCTCACTTAAGGCCCAAGTGCCAAAGGCCGCATTGCGGCGCCGCTTCATCACATCTCATTCACGCGTTTCGAGGTCCCATAGGGAACTCCACCGAACGCCCCAGCAACAGGGCTCGCATGGCGTACACGCTCCTAATTCGGCACGACCCTCACGCGCTTGGTGCACCCAGAAGGGGGCTCCATCGAGGGCCTTCGTACTAGGGTCCGCATGGCATACCCGCCCCAAATGCGGCACAAACTTTACGCGCTTCGTGGCCATGGAGGGCTCGCCGAAGTCTCCAGCGGCGGTGTTCGCATGGCGCCGCCCTGCGAGGATGTGTGCACCCGTCCGTAACTTTGTTCGTTCCCCTCTTTTTCGCTTGCCTCGTGGTACTCGCAGCTTCAGAATCATCTGCTTGGGCCCTTCGTCAGGATATTTTGCTGTTTGCTCTCCGCGGCGTCGCATGTTGGGTTCCTTCGGGCCTCTCCCGTTCCAGCCTGGCCGACAAGGACGTTCGGAAACGTTCAGAAACCTCCGATGCGAAGACCAGGGGTGGACCTAAACGGTGTTTTGGCGATTTCGTGGGCCTTTTTCGTTTCGATGTCGTTTTGCGTTAGAGGCGGATTGAAATTAAAATGAGGGAAAACGAAAATAACACGAAAACGAAAAACACCGTTTGGGTTCAGCCCGGGCGAAGGCGCCGACGACGTCGCCGGCGACGCTGGCGGCGACAGCGAGCGCCCTCCGGGCAGCGGCGGCGGCAGGGGGCTTTGGCCAGCGGGGGGCTCCCCGGGCGCGGGCGCGGGCGCGCCCCGCGGGGGGCAGGCCGAGGCCCAGCCGGCGGCGCGCCCTGGGGGGAAGGCAGATCGAGGGGGCGGGCCCTGCGGGAGGGCTCAGAATCAGGGGGAGGAAGAGGGGCAGGGGGAGAGGAGGAGGGGCAGGGGGGGGGAGGAGGAGGAGGAGTAGGAGGAGAAGGAGGAGAAGGAGGAGGAGGAGGAGAAGAGAGGAGGGAGGAGGAGAAGAGGAGGAGGAGGAGGCAGGAGGAGGAGCAGGGGAGGAGGAGGAGGAAGCAGGAGCAGGAGGAGGGGAGGAGGAGGAGGAGGAGGCGGAGGAGAGGAGGAGGAGGAGGAGAGGAGGAGAGGAGGGAGGGAGGAGAGAGGAGGAGGAGGAGGGAGGAGAGGAGGAGGAGGAGGAGGAGAGGAGGAGGAGGAGAAGGAGGAGGAGGAGGAGGAGGAGGAGGAGGAGGAGGAGGAGGAGGAGGAGGAGGAGGAGGGAGAGGGGAGGAGGAGGAGGAGGAGGAGGAGGAGGAGGAGGAGGAGGAGGAGGAGGAGGAGGGGGAGGAGGAGAGGAGGAGGAGGAGGAGGAGGAGGAGGAGGGAGGAGGAGGAGGAGGAGGAGGAGGGGGGGGGGAGGGGGAGGGGGAGGATGATCAGGTGATCGCAAACATGGATTAAGGGGGCGTGGATTCGCGACGGCTCCCGTTTCCACGGGAGATCGCGGACTTCCGCCGCCGAACGGGGCGGTGCCGGCCGCATTCTGGGGAGGGCACCTCCCTCGATCCATGATTTGGCGACCGCGCGCCAAATCCACGTATCGCTAATCCTTGTTTGCGCGCCCCCGACAGGATTCCTTCTGAGAGGGGGCGATTTCGAGGCCTTCGCCGAAGCCACGGAGGGCCTGTCATGAGGCTCGGAGGGCTTCTGAGAAGCCCAGCCGCCTTCAGAGCGGCCTGCCCCCTCTCGTCTTCCCCGCTCGGAGCGCCGCAGGCCAATGGTGCCATGGGGGGGCGCGCCGGTGCAGAAGCCATGGTTGAAGCAGAACCAGCGCCCGCAGTACTCGCCGCCGCAGGCGGGCGCGCACGCCTCCAGAGTCGACGTCGGCGTCCTCGTTTCGAGAGGGGTCCTCGTCGCGGAGGGTCCTCGTCGCCACGGCTGGATGGCCACGTTGCGCTGATTCAGGACCCTGAATCTCACCTCCGTGCACGCGCGCGCACTTTTCCTCCGACGACGCGGCCGGGTGCATTCACACGCTTTTTTTGTGTGTACACAAATGTTGTTCGCCAGCGTGGGCCCCAAAGAGTTCGTTTGTGCCAATGCATGTGGTGCTATCTCTGTGGAGCAGCATTTGCTGTGCCGCCTGTTGCAGCAATCCAAGTGGTGCAATCTGTATCCAGGTTGTGCAGTTTACGGTGTGCTATCTATGGTGTTCAAGTCATGTTGTGTGACATATGCGATGCAATGTATGTGGTAACCTCTGTGGAGCAATCTACATAGCGCAACCTGTGTGGTGTTGGTGCAATTCACCCTGTCGAGCTTGAAGTTGTCAATGCCACTGTCCGCGCAAACGTCCCACGCACCAGCCCGCAACTTGGTTTGCAAAGCCCATGCGGCGGCGATTGCGATTACTGCTTGGCGCTGGCTGGCGCATCGCTGCGGCCGCGCTAGCCCACGCAGGCTCGCGCGCAGAGGGGCCAGCGAGTCAGGCGCGACCGACACGAGCGCGGTGATGTTGACCGTATGGGACTTCCCAGCGCGTCTCGCAGGCCGCGCTGACGCGCGGGCATTTGAGTGCGAGTCGGTGACTTGGACTGGCGCGGTATCATGGCGACGACGACAACGGCCGACACGATGATGATAGCGGCGGCGCTGGTGACCACGATGACGATGACGACGGCCAGGCCAATGACGGTGCCAATGCTGGTCGCGCCGATGACGATGACGGTGTCCACGTGTCGACGATGAAGGTGTGGAGAGATTTCGAGCTGCGTGCGCGGCCGACCCGCGCGAATGGCCCGCGTGATGTTATTTGACACGGGTCGCCGAATCGCCCCCCTTACCCACCCACCCCACCCCCAGCACGCGCACGAGGGCGTCCGAATGATTCTGGCACGCGCGCGCGCGAAAGGCCCATTCAGTCGCATGCGATGCCGATGTTAAACAAGCACTGGTGTTCTTGACGCAGGAGCGCGCGCTCAAACTTTCTGTTAAAGAAAGCGCGCACGCACACCACCACCAAGAACAACAACATCAGTTTAAACAGCAACACCAACGACAGCAACATGTCGAACAACTGTTGTTTTGTATATGTTTCCGGGAGTCGATCGACACAACACCCAATTCGTTTTGAAAGGGATCCGGCATCCGCGCGCGACGACGCGCCCGTGTGGGATTCGTCCTTGTTGTTTTTGCTGCGAAGTGTTTTGTACACTGATTGACGAACGAGTGCAAGCGCATTATAACATTTGCACGATGATGGGGGGGGGGTCCTGGCCTGGTTGGAATGTTGAGACTCCATATTGAAAATGAGCGATGGGGCGCGCTCGTATGTACATTGCTCATCCCGAATGGCCCGATGAATCCCGGGGGGAAGGGTAGTAGATCCGCAGCTTATGTGGTGCAATCGATGCTGTGCAATATACTTGGAGCAGCGATGAGGCGACGGCGGCAACATAGTCGCCAGACCTCCAAACATGCCCAGACGACGGGCGGCGACGAGGCGGCGACGGGGCCGCGACTGGGCGACGACGGCGGCAGCATGGCCGCCAGACCGCCAGACAGGCCCAGACGACGGGCGGCGACGAAGCGGCGATGGGGCGGCGACGGCGGCAACGTAGCTGCCGGACCGCCAGGCAGGCCCAATTCTATAGAAGAGAAGTAAGAGACCCTAGCGTGCAAGCACTGCGTGGGGAGAAATGCTGACGGATGCGAGAGCGATCAGTCGGTGACTCGTTGCCGTCAAGCTTTGCAGTCGCCGCGGCAGTCGTGCGTTCATGGGCCGGCGCGCGAGGGAATGCCATGCGCGGAAGGCGCATGCGCGCAAATGAGCGCGCGTTCGTGCGTTGGGGCGGTGGGGAGCGGCCTGCGGGCCGGTGGTCTCTGCTGCGTGGACTTAGGTCCCAGGGTCTCCGATCGTCTTCAAGAGGGGGCGGAGCGGTGGCGGTGTCGCTCCACCCGCCGCACCCGACCGTCCAGGGGGAGTCCCAATCTTCCCCGACCGACCTTCTGCTCAGGGGATGCGGGAACGCATCGACCCCCAATCGCCCATGGATTGCCAGCAGGGGCGTGATAGCCCGCCCGGCCCAGGAGCGTGCGGATTACCACCACGGGCCTATCGCGGAACTATCGGCGATGTATCGCCGATTCGAGTTCGATGTTTACCGCCCTGAGGTGATGTTTCCCTTAACGCTGCCCCTCATCTACGGTCGGGGAGTTTGCGCTCTTGTTGTCCTCGCTCATGGCCTCTCTGCAACCTCCTCCCGACCGCTGCAGGTCGAGGCACGGCACGAGCAGCTGTGCAGTTGCGCCAGGGACCTCCGACGCATGGAGCAAAAAGCGCGCTGGGATCAGTTTCCCGTGTCTGGGGGCCCTCGCTGGGCCCCCGGGCCGTCAAATAGCAATACAGGGCGAAACGCCAGTCCCCTGGAAGTGTTTCAGAGTTCCTATGATCCAGTGTTGAAGATAGAGGCATCGCCGCTGTGCCGTGAGGCTCCAGTGGAGCTCATGGTCCCAGACAGGCCAGGGAGCTGCTCCAGGGGTGCCCCCCTTTCCCGTTGTCCCGTGGGCCTTGTTGTGATCGTTATGACGGCAATGATGGCGATGATGGTGATCACGGCGATGATGACAATGATGGTGATGGTGATAGTGATGGTGGTGGTGATGACAAAGTGATGGTGATGATGTTTCTGATGATGCTCATAATAGTATTTGTACTAATGTGTATAATGGTAATAATGATGATGCTGTTGATGTTGATGCTGATGCTGATGGTGATGCTGATGCTGATGCTGATGCTGATGCCGATGCCGATGCTGATGTTGATGCTGATGCTGATGATGATGCCGATGATGATGCCGATGATGATGGTGATGCTGATGATGCCAATGATGGTGATGGTGATGATGAGGATGCCGATGATGGTGATGCTGCTGATGATACTGATGATGACGATAGTGATGGTGATGATGATGATTGTGTTGATGGTAATGATGATGATTGGCATGATAATGATGAGGGTGAGGATGAGGAGGATGATAATCAGGATGAGGATGAGGATGTTGATCAGATGATGCTGATGATGCTGATGATGATGACGATCATGAGGATCATGAGGATGAGGATGATGATGATTATGCTGATGATGATGATGATGATGGTGATGATGATGATGATGCTGATGATGGTGATGGTGATGATGATGATTGTGTTGATGGTAATGTTGATGATTGGCATGATAATGATGAGGGTGAGGATGAGGAGGATGATAATCAGGATGAGGATGAGGATGTTGATCAGATGATGCTGATGATGCTGATGATGATGATGACGATCATGAGGATCATGAGGATGAGGATGATGATGATGATTATGCTGATGATGATGATGATGATGATGGTGATGATGATGATGGTGGTGGTGGTGGTGGTGATGATGATGATGATGATGATGCTGATGATGATGGTGGTGATGATGATGGTGGTGATTGTGGCGGTGGCGATATCGATACTTATTGATCAGTGTTATGATGGCGGCGACGAGGACGAGGACGAGGAGAAGGAGGAGGAGGAGGAAGGGGAGGAATGGTGATGGTGGTGATGGTGGTGGTGGTGGCCATGATGATTTCGATGATGATGAGGCTGTGATGACGGTGCGCGCGCGCGGAGAAGCAAAATCCGCCGGCCTCCAGTGGCGCGGTGGGCCCCCAGCGCCGTACGGCGGGAAAGGCGGCTTCGGCGGGAAGGGCGGCCTGGCGTACGGCGGCGCCATGTACGGTGGCGACGGCTACGGCTTCGCCCCGCCGCAGCAGCGGCGCGCGAGGGCGCCCCCGCCGCGCATGCCCGAGCACTTGCAGGCGAGCCGCCGGGCTCGTCGTCGTCGTCGTCGTCGTCGTCGTCGTCGTCGTCGTCGTCGTCGTCGTCGTCGTCGTGGGGGGTTCGAGGTTCGAGGTCTTCGGGCGTTGCCGTGTCTTCGGCGGCTTTCCAGCCTCGGGATGCCTTCAGCAGCTGCGCCTCGCCGAGAGCGTTCTGGGGTGCTCGGATCTTCCCGAACGGCCGCCGGAGAGCCGAGGTTTAACCCGAAAACCCCGTCGTCGTTGTTGTCGTTGTCGTCGTCGTCTCAGATCTCCATCGATTTGATGTTTTTTTGCCGGCAGCCTTTCCTAGATTTCGGCCCTCGGTTGTCCGTCCAAAAAGGTATCGGGGGCGAGAAGCTGGACGGGACTCTTGGGTCCGCGGATGCAAAACATCAGATCGGCAGATGGTAGGGGTCGGCGTCGTCATCGTCGTCGTCGTGTCAAGTTCAGTAGGGCCGCTGTCCTGGGACCCTGGAAGCTATAGGGCGTGGATCTGTCCGGGCCCTGAGGATTTCAATGGCCGCATCCTGTGCAGGGTTCCTGGGGCATCGCGGTTCCCAGGCGATGAACGTGGGCAACCCTGACCTCCAATGCCAATATGGACGTTTTTCACCGTTTTTGGCCTCAAGGGACTCTCGCCGGGCCTCGGGACTGTCAAAACGACGCAGGATCAAACGCTGGCCCTGGGGAGAGGGTCGGACTTCGGGGACCGCGTATTGAGGTGAACGTGTGGGAGGAAATCCTGTGTGCAGCGTTGACTGGTAGGGTTGGCGGCCTGCGTTGGCCGGAGGACTGATGCCCTGGGACCGCCGGATGATGTCCGTTCTTTGGGAGGCAGTGGGATGTGCTATATCCAGGGGTTTCTGTCTTTCCCGTCGTGCCTCGGTCGTAGACCAGCGGTCCTCTGGATGCAAGGAAGATTCTCTTGTGGTGCCTGTCGGAGGCCTCTTGGAGGGCTCTTGGGGGCATCTGGGGGGCCTCTTGGGGGCCTCCTGGGGGCCTCGGGGGGCCGGCAGGGAGGACTGCGTATATCCTGCAGTCATCGAGGCTCAAAGGGAGCGAAGGTCCACACACGGGTGGCAACCCAGATGCTTCTGTGGTGACAGCTGCGCGCCGAGGCGCGCGCGGCTGCGCGACGACAGTCGGCGTCGGGTGCTGGGCAAGGGCTCGAGCGAGAGACTGAAGCGCGCGGAGAGTTCGAGGAGCGCAAGGCATGCAGACCCTCAATCGAGGGCGAGAAAACACTGACACTGCGGGGCGGTCTGATCCGAGAGCACACCCCCGAGGCAAAGACCTGGGGGGAAACAGTTCGTGAACAGCCCTGCGGCTCATCAAGCCCAGAACTTTAAAGCGGGGCCCTCCAAACTCAGCAATTCAGCTCTCTCGCCGAGAGCCAACGATGGCCAGTCGGCAGCTGCCAGACACGCTCGGAGGCGAGGCTTGACCCATTCAACGGAGACAGACAGAAGTTCGAGGCGTCCTACGAGTGCTCCTCCTCCTCCTCCTCCTCCTCCTGGGCATTCTTCTTCGAGTCCTACGCCCATCTGATTGCTGGGAGGGGGGCCGTGCGCGGACAACGCTGTGACGTAGGTGAACCTCATCCTGTCCGCGGCTATCCCTGGAGGCATCGACAACGGTAAATTGATACATATATATACACACACTTATCTATATATATATAGATACACATACAGATTTGTACACAATCTGATATGTCTGCGTCGAGGGTCAACGGATCTGTTTGCTCGGTGGTGAGGCTTTTTGAGCGTGGCAACGGGCTCGAGGCGGCGAGGCGCTTGTTCAAAGAGTACCGCACGTGCCCTGGCCGAGGACCACGCGCAGATGGTCGCCATCGTGTTGGCCCCGTGTGATGGCGCGACCCAGGTCGAGCGTCTCAAAGCTTTATCGACGTGCTAACGCTTGACGTGAAATCGTGACAGTCTAAGAGCTGGCAAGGGGAGAGCGTGTTGCGAACAACATGGAATTGGCGACGGTGCTGGCCCACGCACCAGCCCCTGTGAACGACCTGCTGCACACGGCTACCAGAGAGATGCGGTTGCCCTACGCGACTTCGCGAGAGCTTTTTTTCAACCAAACAAAAGGCCTGAATGCCCACACGGTGGCACCACCACCACGCCCTAAAAACACCGGGCAAAGACAAACGAGCATCCGGCGGCAAAAGCAAGACACCCGCATCGAACAGACCGTTCACGGACAAGTGCCTTCCTCGTGGCGTGACAGGCCACTGCGTCGCCGACCTGCAGAATGACCATCGCAGCTGACACAGAACGGAACAAGCAGGAGATGAAGCAGAAGACAGGGGAAATAGAGGCAGCAAAGAAGTGCAGCGTGCAGGACATCGGGCTCGAAGAGCACGACAGCGATGCGCGCCAGGCTTGCGACGACGACGATGACGCCAAGCCCGGTTGGAACACGTGCGGTTGGAGGAGAGGGCTTCCATCTGGTGAAAGTCCGAATGGATGTTGCTTTCCCCGAAAGGCGCAGATTCTGGCTGGAGCCAGGAAGTGAAGCGCCAAAGGTCTCCACGTGGTGGGACTCCTCCGGAAGAAGCTCAGGGGAACCTTCTACGTCCTCGGTATTCCGTCTTTAAGTCGCATTCTTGCGAGCTAGCATTTGGCAGTCGATGATAAAGAGACGATTTATCCATGGTTTGCGTCGACTAGAGTCGGTCGGCGTCGATTCGAAAGAGCCAGCACGATGACATGGGAGGCTCCCATGAGTTACCAGTTTGAAGCATATCCCTATCCCTATGTTTGACATCACCTCACCTCGATGCCGATCTTAAGGATTCCCTCAGTTTCTGAGGGCCTATCCCTAAGATGGTCCTCGCTTTTTGCTCGCCCATCTTAGAGATAGGGATACGTTCGAGGCTGGTTAATGAGGAGAATGTGATTAAAGGATCCGGCGATCATCCAGGTTATCGTGCCCATCCCGTCCTCCTTCCCCTCCCCCGCCTCCTCCTCCCCAGCCTGGCCGCCAGGTGCGGGCCTGTACGTGGCACGCTTTTGCGAGAAAACCGCTGCCCGTCCTCCCCCTCCCCCCCGCTGACGCCCAGACCCCTGGGCCGTGTTCTGCCGATCTCCCCCAGAAGCCTGTGGTCCAGCGAGGCCCGCCCCTTTGCCCAGAAGCCACGACCTCGAAACTACACAGGGGATCTCGATGATTCCTGCGCTTCGGCACGTGGATCGTTGTCTCGGCTGGCACCCCGTGACTCTGCCACGACTGTCCGAGGAGGAAAGAGGCACCCATACCGACACCCTCGCCTCGTTTTTCCCTTTCCGGGCCTCCTGGGAGGCCCTCGTCGCCACCGCTGGATTCGCCTCGAGAGCCTGGTCAGAACGCACCCTAGGAGAGGTTCAGGGAGTAGCGGTATCGGTACTTTTTGGCTTCCCCAGATTAGCGCCCCCGATCGTTGCGCCCGTCTACTCGTTCCCAATCACGCGTCCAGTGCCATTTTATTTTCGGCCCCTCGTCCACGCAATTATACCGCCCTTTGGTAAGTGGCCGTGTGGATGTGTTCGACGAAGACGAGGAGGAAGATGAGGGAATAGTTTCTGGAGGGAGGGGGAGGAGGGGTGAGGAGAGAGGGGGGATAACGACCAGGACGTGGAGGGTGGTTAACTGGTGGATGGCGACGCGAGGGTGGAGGAGGGACGAGAGGTTGTAGGGAGGCAGGGATGAGGAAGCCTCTCGGCTCGATCTCGGTTGGCGCATCTGCCAGCCGTGTTAGATCGAAATCGCCATGCGATGACATCGGCAGGCGTCTGGAAGAGACGCCATTGCAGCTGTATGTGGGAGGAGGAGGAGGAGGAGGAGGAGGAGGGGCAGGAGCAGGAGGAGGAGGAGGATCGGTTGTGGATCACGAGTTGTTCAGTCAGCTGAGCTCTGCCCGGGGGTCAGACAGACGATGGCGGTCTTCAGCCTCCGCCAAAAGGCTCGATAGAGGCATCAAACACGAATCCAGGCAACACGCATCCAGACGAGGAGGAGGAGAGGAGGAGGACGAGGAGGAAAGGAGAGTGGGAACGCAACAAGCCTGGCCTTGATGTCCGCCCAACGTAGAAAGGAGAAGAGAATGACGACCCTCTCCGGATGCCCTCCTGGCCAGATCAACGCCACCATGCGATACACCGGCGTGGTGGCTTTCTACCACAAGTGGAAGGGCTACGGCTTCATCGAGGTGCCCGCCGCGGCGCGCAGTCCCTCCTCGGCCGCGGCCAGACCGCGGCTGGCCGTGGCGGTTTTGGGCGGCAGGAGATCGGTGTCAGCTCTCGAGTAGGGAAGAAGGCAGTGAATGCGAGCAGGTGCGAACGGGAGAGAGGGGTGGAAATTACAAACCCCACCAGACAGCACTTGGCATCCTAGCACGCCATAAGTGATTCGCCCGCCATAAGTGATTCGCTCACGGCGCGGGGTTCTTGTCAGAGGGGATTTGGGGGCTTCTTTGCAGAGGGCTCCTCCTTCTTCGTTAGAGTAACCTTAGCGTGACGCCGTGGCGTTAGAGAGGGCTCCTCCTCCACCTCCTCCTCCTGTTCCCCCCCTCCTCCTTCTTCTCCTCTTCCTCCTCCTCCTCCTGCCCCGCCCAGTGGCGGGGCGACGAGTGACCGCGAGTGTGGTTTGGGGTTCTTTGCAGAGGGGTCTGGGGGAGTAATCACACACCGAGGTATTCAGGACAGAGGTGCGAGCTCAGTTTGGGCATCCTCGGCGTCCCTTGTGGCCACGGCCTGGCGCAGCCCGAACAACTGGCCGTGATGGATCCCGAAAGGTGTCTGGGAATGAGTCTGAGCGAATTTTGAAGGAGGAGAGGTGAGCGGGATGAGACCTCGAGGAGGAGAAAGGCTATTAGTCTGCACCATGACTTGAGAGGTTCCCATGCATGGTGTGGTGGTGAAATGGAGGTGCCTACTGTGCAGGGACAGTCTGATTGAGAGAGGAGGGAACATTTCATTGTGCAGGCGGACGTTGTGCCTCAGAGGCCGCATGTTTCAGTTCACCCTCTTGAGATGAGTATCCCGGTGCTGGTGGAAGAAATAATATATAATCGTATCACACGACGTATACGTGAATTTTTCGGAGGTCCGTGCGGATTTCTTGGACCTGCATGTTGGCCCCTGGCGCGCTCCGCGCGCTAGGAAGCCGGGCGTTGCGCAGTTGGTAAATGGAGGTGGGGGGGAGACACAGGTGCACCGTTTGTACCTTAAAGGGCCCTTCAAGTGGCCCCCTGGGCCCAAAAGGGGCACAAAAGGTGCACATGTCTTTCCCCCCATTTGCCGCCCCGCTATGAGGGAGCGCCCGAGGGAGGGGGGGAACCAGCGCCGATCCTAGAAATCCGCGCGGCACTCCGAAAGTTGATGCTTATAGGGCTTTTCGGTAGAAGGGGGAGGAAGGAGGGCTCCCCTCGGGCCGCGAGGCGGAGGAGGCAGGAGCAGGGAGTGCCAGGCACGGGGCAGAGGAGGGGCAGCTGGGGGAGGAGGGAGAGCGCGCAAAACAGGAATGTGACAAGGGGGGAGCAGAGGGGTCATGCTGGTGCTGCTGATGATGGTGCTGATGCTCATGAGGACTCTGAGCACGGTGTGGATGATACTGGTAATGACGATGATGCTGTCGTTGACGATCATGGCGATGCTTGTGATGATGATGTTGATGATGATGCTGATGATGATGCTGATGATGATGATGATTCTGATGATGGTGATGATGATGATGATGATGATGATGATGAAGCTAATTGAGACAATGATACCGATGAGGATGATGCGGTTGATGAGGCGGTTGACGATGCTGTCGAGGATGTTGTTGTTGTTGCTACTGACGATGCTGATTCGTTTGCCGATGTTGAGGTTGAGTTTGACGATATTGGTAAAGCTGGAGAATATGATGCTGCTGATGATGATGATGGTGATGAAGATGATGATTATGATAATGCTGCTGATGCTTGATGAAGATGTCTATGATGATGATGGCGATGATGCTGATGATGATGATGCTGCTGATCATGATGGCGACGATGATGACGATGACGATGCTGTTGACGATGAACATGATGAATACGATGACGATGCTGCTGATGATGTTGATGATGCTGATCATGCTGATGATGACGATGATGGTGATGATGATGATGATGATGACGACGATGCTGCTGCTGCTGCTGATGATGATGATGTTGTTTCTGCTGCTGCTGTTGCTGCTGCTGATGATGATGGTGGTGGTGACGATGATGATTATGCTGCTGCTGCTGGTGATGATGCTGATAATGATGATGATGATGATGATGATGATGATGATGATGATGATGATGATGATGATGATGATGATGATGGTGATGGTGATGGTGATGGTGAGGAGGAGGAGTTTGATTACGATAACGATGATGATGATGATGATGATGATGATGATGATGATGATGATGATGATGATGATGATGATGATGATGATGATGATGATGATGATGATGGTGGGAGGCGACGGAGCGGGAGTGAGAACGGAAGGAGGAGGAGTCGGAGGAATAGGAGGATGAGCAGGTGGAGAGAGAGAGAGAGAAAGAGAGAGAGACAGAGAGAGAGAGAGACATATATACATGAACATCGATGTATTTCCATTGAGGGAGAAGACAGACTGAGGTGGAGGAGGTGAAGAAGGAGGAAGTTTGTGATGACGATAACTATGAATACGATTCAATTGATGGCGTTGTGCTGATGGTGATGGCGAGTTTTGATCTAATGAGATCGAGGAGGGCAGCACCCTAACATGCAGGGATGAACAGGAGGAGCAGCATGAAGAGCGCAAGGAGTAGCAGAAGTTACCGTCGATGTCTGGGCTCCCGCCGACCCTAGAGGTGTCTCAGAAGGGCGTGGTGCCCAAGGACCAGATATTCTGCCACTGGCGCCAGATCAACAGTGACGATCGCTTTCCCTTCCTGGTCAAGGGGCTCGAGGTCGAGTTCAACATCACGCCGTGGATGGAGAGAGGCATCAAGACTGTGCGCGCGAAAGACGTGACCATGCCTGGCGGCATGAACATTGGCCTGCAGGATGCGAGGGGGGGGAAGGCGGCTTATCTATCCAGGCCTTCCGCATGGGGCCCGAGCAGATGGGGTCTGAGGATCGTGCCGCGTCGCCGATGCATCGGCGATGCGGCTCGATGAGGAGCCCGATTTTCTCCACGCCGATGGCGGCGATGCGGCGCGTTCCTCTGACCCCATCTGCTCAGACCCCAGCCTGGAGGCCTCCAATACGCATCCCCCGCGAAGTTGTGGTGAACCGGGTCCTTTGGCCGCGGGGCCCTTTTTTTATTTGGGTCTGTTCTCAACCCCGCGCGGAGCGCGGCCTGCCCTTTGGGCTTACAGTCGGCCCAAGATAGTAGGTCGACCCTGCCAAATCAAGGGTACCCTTGTGTCCTGTGTCTGGCGACCCATGCTTCCTACATTCCTGTGGCAGTATGGCCCGCGGAAGGGTCTTGTGTCCTTTCGCGTGTCCTGTCCAATCGAGTCCGACTGTACTGGCAGACGCCGTTCAGAGGGGGCCGCAGTGAGGGGGGGGGGCGGGGGGGGGGGGGCGGATGTCGTGGGAGCGATCGTCGAGGGAGTGGTCGTGGAGGTCGCGGTCGTCGTGGCGGCGGTCGTGGTGGCCGTGGTCGTCGTGCAGGTCGTGGAGGTGGTGGCCGTGATCGTGGTGGTGGGCGTCGTGGCGGGTGGTGGTGGCTGCGGGGAAGGCCTTGAGGGGCATGGACCCTTGTGGGTGTGCCACGCCGTCGGGCCCGAGTTCGCCGGCCCCGGGGGAACAAGGTTGCCGCGCTGGCCCTTCGGGAGCAGATGCTACCCCGCCCGGCCGGAGCCCGCCCTGTACGCCCTCGCCAAGGGTGCCCGCGCGGTCCCTCAAGCTGTGTCGAGAAGCATCTCTCTCTCTCTCTTTCTCCCTCCCTCCCCCCCTCCGTCTCTCTCTCTCTCTCTCTCTCTCTCTCTCTCTTTTTTTCTCTCTCTCTCTCTCTCTCTCTCTTTTTGTTTTTCTCTCTCTCTCTCTCTCTCTTCAGCCCTGCTGTGTGATGGCCTGTGGTGCCCCGCATCTCGCTCCGCAGCCCTGCGAGCGCGATCTGCTGAGCAGGTCGCGCTCTCTCCCTGCCCTGCCCCGCTGCAACAGGCTGCTCCTCCTGTTCCACCATGCTGCGGGAGGCCTTCCCAGACATGCGATGTCCGGATGGTCCCATTATTCTCCCTTCAGTACGGGCTCCCTGGAGGTCCCGACCCATTACGCAGGGCCGGTTTCCCCTCCCGAGCAGTGCTGTAGTTTTGTTGACGGGCCCTGGGGCCTAGCAAGGGACCCCCGGAGGCCGAAGACTGAGAAAACCTCGGTCCTGATTTGTTCCAGGGCTTTGATTGTCTGGAGCAGCCGCCGCACGATCACGCACGTTCCCCCCGTTCCGCCCCGCGATCGTGTGGCGACAGGACGACCTGGACGCGCAGGAGAAGAGCTTCATCGGCGGCCAGCACCTGCGATACACTGGCCATGGCCTCGGTGTTGATACCCGTCCTCGCCATCCCTTGTCGTCGTCGTCGTCGTTGACCCCTCCCCTATCGTCGTCGCCGTCCCTCGTCGGCGTTATCGCCACTCCTCGTCGTCCCTTGTCGCCTGTCCTTGTCGTCCCTCGCCGTCGTCCTCGTCCCCCCCGCTCTCTCCGCTCGCCCTGCCCACTCGCCATCGCCCCTGAACCGAACCCTTACCGTGGCCCCCTCTTCCTCGCCATTTCCTGGCGCAGGAGGGAGTTGGAGGAGGAGGAGGAGGAGGAGGAGGAGGAGGAGGAGAGAAGAGGAAGAGCAGGAGGAGGAGGAGGAGGAGGTAGAGAAGAAGGAGGAAGGAGGAGGAAGTGGAGCAAGTGAGGGGAGGAGGGGTGGGCGAAGAAGAAGGTTGAGCAAGCGAGGGAAGGAGAAGGAAGAGTAGGAGGGAGTAGGGACGAGAAAGAGTGGAGTGAGAAGCGAGACGCGAGGGGAAGCAGGAGGAGGAGAGGAAGAAGGAGAAGGCATCTCCCCCCACGGTTCCCCCGTCCACCCCACCGCCCGCCATCTCCGGCCAGCGGCCCGCGGAGGCACGCTGAAGTTTTTCTCGCCCAAGCTGGGCTTCGGCTTCGTCGTCATGGATCAGGGGTGCCCTCTCCGGGCGGGTGCGCTGCTGGCTGCCGCTGCGTTGCGGCCCCACCCGCCCGCGTTCGGCCGGAGGATCGGACTTCCCAGGTCAGCGGCAGGGGCGCGAGGACACAGCCAAGGCGCTAAGAGGTGGACCGCTTTGGGCTCTGGAGGGGCTTTGGCTTCCGGGCCGCTCCCTGGAATCAGGTCGGCGAAGCTGTTCGTGGCCGAGACTCGCCGTGGCCAGGAGAGCCTCTTCGTGCCTTACTCAGCGCTCCTTCGCTCTCCCCTCCCTGACCTCCCCACGCGACTTCGACTGCGATCCTTGAGGGCTGGGTCCCGCCCTGGCGGTCACCGGCGCGCTTCGCTTCGCTTCGTCGTTCCTTACGATCGCCCGATGGCAGTCGCCGCATGTTTCGCAGCCACGGCCTGGGGCCAGTGCAGGTGCCCCTCTCCGCCGAGCAGCGCGGGAAGTCACGGAGATCACGCGTCGCGAGAGAGCGCGGTGCTCAGGAGGGGAAAAACACACACAGACACGATTAATCTGCGATTCCCTAGAAAATATTCGAAAATATGGGAAGTGGGGGGATGACACAAACCCAGAAAATATTGGAAAATATGGGGAATCGTTTTATTTGTGTGTATTTATTTGTGTGTCCCAGGGCCCCTTCAGGTGCGCTAAGCTCGGATGCCTCGGCCGCTCAGGCTGGAGGCAAGCAGCGGCACCAGGTCACGGCACCCCGCGCACGGGCCGCCTTTCCGCTCGGCGGTTGAGCGAGCCCGTTCGGACCCGGGGTCGCAAGAGCCTCGCTTTCGGAGAAGGGAAGGGCACCGATGCCGGTGCCCGTCCTGGGGAGCTCTCGTCGCCACGGCTGGATTCTCTTCGACACCCTGGTCAGGATGGTCAGAGCGCACCCCGGGGTCCGGGGAGTAGCGGTATCGGTACCTTTGTGTTCCCATTTTCCTTTCGAGGGCCCTGACCGACCGTTGCTTCTCTCTTCTGCATGGGGGACGTCTCTCCCTCCTGGTCCTCGTACCTCCCTTTTCGTTGTGCCTTATTGTGTCTTCCTTCCCTTCCTCCTCTTCATCGTCGTCCTCCTCCTCCTCTCCCTCCTCCCTCCGTTTCCCTGACCCGTCCCCCCCATCCCCATTCCTCTCTCCGTTCCCCTCTGCGCCTCCGCCTTGTTCCCTCGCCCTCATCGTCCTCCTCCTCCTCCTCCTCCTCCTCCTCCTCCTCCTCCTCCTCCTCCTCCTCCTCCCCTCCCCCCCTCGGCCCACGCCACACTACGCAGACCCGAGCCGACCCCATCTGGGAGGAGGGGGGCTGCTCGGGGGCGCGGGCCAGGCAGAAGCGCCAGGCTGAGCTCCCAGGGCCGCCTTGGAGCTCGTCTGGCGGGGTCCCGGGGCCCTCGAGGAGGAGGAGGAGGAGGAGGAGGAGGAGGAGGAGGAGGAGGAGGAGGGGCTTTTTGGGTGGGTCTTGGGCCGTCGTGGGGCGATCCTTTCCCAATGGCTCAAAAGGGGAGGGACCCTTCATTCGGCGGCGAGCGAGGGGGGGAAGTGAGGAGGAGACGGCCTCCTCAGAAGGCGGCGGGACTTCTCAGAAGCCCTCGCGCCTTCTGAGGAGTTGTCTCATTCTTCGGGGAAGGCTTAGAACACTTCTCAAGGCTGGGGGACTTCCGAGTCTTCTGAGAAGGCCCGCCCCTTCTCACTTCCCCCGGCGCTCGCCGCCAAATAATTGCCCCCCTTTCTGTTGCGGAGGCCGAACACTTGCCTCTCGAGGCTTTCTTGGAGCGTTCGTGGGCTCATCATGGGGCCTCCGAGGCTCAGCGCAAACGAACGGGCACGTGGGGCGATTTGGCACCTTGGGGAGTTCCTTTGGAGGCTTCGTGGCCACTTGCATCCGTGTAGGGACCATGTTGGGACCTCTCGAATGTAAGGCGGAAGCTATCATGAGCCATCTTGGGCCATCTCGGGAGCCATCTCGAGGGCCATCTTGGGGGGTCACCTTAGGGGCCATCTTGGAGGTCATTTTGGTGCATCGGGAGCCACCTGCCCCTCCCCTCTCCTCCCGTCCAGACCCAGGGGCCAGGGCAGGAGGAGGGGCAAACGGCGAAGAAGCGGCCCGGGATTGCGGAAGCCATGGCGTGCCGTCACAAGGATGGCGCTCCTACCCCAGAGCGGGCCACACTGCCGGACCCGACCTTGCTCGTCGCCGTTGTCGCCCCGCCCGCTCATTTCCCCTCCCCCGCCTCCCGCTGATCGTCCTCCTCCTCCTCCTATGCGCCTCCCCCTACTTCTCCTCCTTCACCTTCTATCTTAGCCTTCTTTCCCTTCTCTGCCTCTTGCTCATCCGCCTCCTACTCCGCCTCCTCCCATGTACACGAGCCACCCTGCCCGATTACGCATCAAACCGCTGGCCCAACCCTGCAACTGCCATTTGGGCATCAAGGTCCAAGGACACCCCGATCGGCGGACAAAATGAGTCAACGTAAAAAGCCGAGGATGAGCGGAAGGGGCAGGATGTGAGATGTTGCGCGAGCCCACGTAGTTTGTCTCTCTCCTCGTCTCTTCGTTCGCCTCGCCCTCGGCCTCCCGGCGCATCCCAGGTGTGGATGGAGATCCGTGCAACCCCTCATGGTACGGCCGGCCATGAGCATGTGCCATCAACTCGCAATCCGTGTTGCTCACGTTTCTCGTAGGCATTGTGTCGGCTACGCTACAGCGCACTCGCCAGCCTTCAAGAATCAGCGCTGTATACCAGCGAGATCCAGGACTCCTTGGAGGGGGGCCAACCAGACTGGACGGACGTCGCCTGACTAGTGGCCTGGCCCTCTGGCGCAGCGCTCCCAACAGTTCGGACAGGCCGCGTGTAGATGTACGCTCCGTCCGTCTGGGCCCCTCTCACGGAATACTCCCAGCGTAGACCAGGACGCATCAGCCCAGGAACGTGTCTTTGCGCCTGCCTCCTCGGCGGGGCCGCCCAGGTACGACGTCGACCCGAGCGTCCCCATGGAGATGAGGGTTGAGACGGCCGAGGCCAGCTCTGAACGGGGGCGGGCGGCAGTGGGAGGGGAAGGGGCGGCGGAGGAGGAGGGGAGGCGCGGAGGAGGGGTCGGAGGAGCGTGAGGCGGAAGATCTGTGCCTCCTCCTTCTCTGTCTGCCCCGCCTCTGCTTCCTCCTAATCCCCTTCTCCTCCTAGAGAAAAAACATACTATACACAACAACCTTGGGGGGGGGGGCGAGGGTCCTGGTCGTGGGTCTGGTAGATAAAATTCCTCATTGTGGCATGGTTTTCGTACACTGAACATGGCCTCGTGCGGTGGGATCTGACTGGGGCGGGGACGGTGTGGCAGACGGTAATGTCTGAGGGTCTTCCCATTGCAGCTTTTCCTCTCCTCCCTCTGCTCTCTGGTTGCACGGTTGCGCATGGAGTCTGAAGTCCACGCACCGCACGGAGGCAGACAATGTGATGGATTCACGATTTAGGTAGGGAGTTCAAGTCCCTCAATCTTATTGACGCTTCCCGTGCCTCCACCAGCGATTCAGAAACGATGCCAGAGCGAGGTCCTTTGATCAGGACAATGCAGAAGCGTGCAGTGGAAGAAAGGTCTGGATCAGCTTGGGACCCAGTTCGAGGACGATAGGAGGATGAAGAGAAGGACGAGGAAGAGAACGTGGAAGAGGACGAGGACGAGGAGGAGGAGGAGGAGGAGGAGGACGATCAGGAATAGGAGTAGTAGTACGAGGGGGAGGAGGAGGCGGATCAGGATGAGGATGGCGAGAAGGAGAAGGACGACGACGAGGAGGATGAGGACGAAGACTTCGGCAGCAATAGTGGGGTCTTCTGGAGGCTTCGTAGGGTCCTCTGTGGGCTATCGCGGCCCTCTGAGGTCCCTCTTTGGGCTATGTTGGAGGATCTAGTGGTCCTCTTGGGGCTTTGTTGGGGGGTGTTGATGCATCTTGGAGTTTTCTTGGGGGGGCTCTTGGGAGCCTTGGAGGACCTCTTGGGCCCTTCTCGGAGCACATCGATCAAAAGAGGGGGGACCTCGACGTCCGTAATCCCTCAGGAACATTCATAAGCGCCCGTTGGATCGCTATTGGGGCCGTCTTGAAGGCCGTATCGAGGCCTCAGAAGTTCATCGGAATCGAAACGGCGAGGATACGCACATCATTTACGCTCCCTGGGTGCTTAAATAAGTTTGGCCACTTGGGGGGGGGGTTCTGTGGGGAGCTCCGAGAGCATTTGGAACAATTTTGTGTCTATCTTAAGGGCCTCGTGGCGGCACGATGTACGTAAGCCATCCTGAACCATCTGTGGCTATCTCGAGCCACTTCGGAGGCCTTCTTGGAGCATCGGAGGCCCTCTTGAAGCCATCTCGGGCGCTCTAACCCATCCGTCCAGCTTCAGGGGGTATTTTCACGATCTGCTGATCCAGCGCCATCGCGCCAGTTTTACAGATCCTTAATCCATATTAGTGTGTACCTGGTAGGAGGAGGGAGGAGCGGGGGAGCTGGCCGCCACCCTCGTCTCGTTGCACGCGGGGCTCCGTAGGTGTGGAGGGTGCGCGTGTGCGCCTGGAAAGACGTGCTGCGTGCCGACCAGAGGAACGAGGAGGGGGGACTCGATGTGAAATTTGGGGAGAACGCAGGGTTGTAAGGAGGGGCATGATCAGGAGAGGGGGGGAGGAGGGGGATGCTGGGGGAGGAGGGAGGGGAAGGATGAGGAGGGGGAATATGAGGAGGGGAAGTATGAGGAGGGGAAGTATGAGGGGGGGGGAGGAGGAGAAGGTACTCGAGTGGGTGGGGCATGCATGAGGGGCGGGGCCTCGAACCCGGGCAGGTCAACGCAGGAGGCCGACAGCCTGTGCACATGGATAACATACCAGTGGAGTTCGGGATCTGGAGGACCTGGCGTGTGTCCCCAATGTCCGACGCTATGATTTCGGGGCGACCGACATGGGTACGGAAAGAGCGGGTACGATGTCCAACAGCAGTTCCTGTTCATTTTGAACAGGACTCGCTGTCCGCGCCGCCGCGGACGGTGTTCATTGAAGGTACAAAGCCGTCTGCCCGACAGCGGCCGCTGTCGATTTGGACTACATTTGTTGTTGGGCATTGCATCCGTTTTTCCGTATTTATTTCGGGCGTCCAAATGAGTGGCCAGAAAGCGCCAACGCCTATCTTGGCCAGGCCAATTTTGGGCCCAGGATTTGTGTATGCGCTGTCACTTACTCAGGGGTAACGAGAGGGGTGGATAGGCCCAGGGGTGAAAGCATTTTCCTCAACTGCCCAGCCGTCGCTGATGCGGGTCTGAGCTTGCCACCCCGCCCCGAGCGTGCGATTTCGCCAGCGAGGGCCCGTCGCGGATCTATCGGCGATACGTCGTTGATTCAGGCTTGATGCTCCCGCTCCCCCCTTGAGCTGGTCCCCACCTGCCGATCCCCATCACTGATACAGGTCGTGTGCACCGACGAGGGGCCCAGGATCGGCCTGGCTGGGATCGGTGTACGGTCGGCCCGGATTCGTAGGTCGACCCTGCCAAATCAAGGGCACCCTTGTGTCCTGTGTTTCGCGACGCGTGCCTCCTGCATTCCTTTGGCAATGTGACCCTCGGAAGGGTCTCGTGTCCTCTCGCGTGTCCTGTCCAATCGAGACCGACTGTGGGTCTATAGTTGACGCCCTCCTGCGAGGGGCACAGCGATACCCAAGGCGCCCCCGGGGGCGCGAGATCGATCGCAGTGCGCGCGCCGCGGTCCCGGCCATGGAGCTGCCCTCCTTCGGGGGGATAGGCCGCGCGGGAGCGCGAGCACGGTGGCGTCCGGCGCGCCTTGAAGCGCGAGGTCGGGGGACCTGCAGCCAAGACGATGACGTAAGGTCAGAGGAGGAAACGGTATCCATACGTCTACCCCTCCGCTCGTTTTCCCCTTCTCGGGGCCTCCTGGGCGGCCCTCGTCGCCACCGCTGGATTCGCCTCGAAATCCTGGTCAGAACGCACCCCAGGAGACGTCTGGGGAGTAGCGGTATCGGTGCCTTTCGGTTCCCCCGTATGGTCGGTCTCCGGATGGGCTTTCGTCTTTCGGTCGATCCCTAGATTTCTGTCGTGGCACCTGCTTGTGGCCCCGGACCGGCGTGGCCAGGCCAGGCCCGTCGTTCCTCGTTGTGCGCTCCTTCTGGCAGCACGATGACTGCAGCTGGCCTCGGCGCTGTGAAGGGAGCACGGTTCGAAGAAAAACAACGGCATCTACAGAGGTTTTCGGAGCCCCGTGCAGATCTCTTGGATCGGTGCCAGCCCCCCAGCCTGGCGCGCGTAGCGCGCCATGGGCGGCGCCTGAGGCGCCGCCAGGGGGACCCAGCGCAGATCCAAGAAATCCGCGCGGAAGCCTGGAAGTGTATGGTCATGTAGTGTTTCATCTTCTGACCGTCGGCGCAGTTTGGGCAGCGTTCGAAGCACTGGGTCAGGAGCTCCGTGGCGTCAGGCACACACGGGGCTTCACGCCTCGTCGGTGAGAGCCGTCCTCTGCTCCGTCCTCTGCCCCATGCTCCTCATCCTTTCCGTCGTCGCCCCCCGTGCTTCCCCGCCGCATCCTCCCCCCATCCTCATGATCTTCCTGCTGCCCTCCGTTGTCATTCTTCTCCTGTGCTCCCTCGTCCTTATGCTCCCGCTCCGCTTCCCCCCTCCCCTTTCTTCCTTCTGACTCGTCCACGCAATTCTGCTCATCATCTTTTCATCCGCGCGGTTTTTGTCAGCGTGATCCCGCTTTCGCGCCTTCATCACTCCCAGTGAACAGTGCTGGTGATTTATCCAGCGCCGCAGGACTCAGCGAGGCCTCTACAAGGTGTATAACATGACGCTCCCGGGCGGGCATCCCCTGACGCAGGATGCGGGAACGGAATTCGGCATTCATGGCATTGATTGTTAGTATTCTGTCGGCCCTCTGCGATGCTGCGGAACTGTCCTGGTGCCCTTGGGCCGCCATGATAACAGCAGGTCTTTCGTCGGGCGTCTCTCTGAAGGGCATTGGTAAGGAACAGCCCCAATTTGCCCCGAGAGACAAGTGGGAACGCGTTTTTTGTTTCGAACCTTGCAGTAAGCTTTTCCCCCGCATGTGGGGTTTAGAGCGTCGCCCATCCTCTTGGGTATGAGAGTACGACATGACCTTCGGCACTGGGGAGATGGGGTGGTTACAGGGTTAGGGGAGAGGGGAGATACGGAATTTGCTGAATGCAGCTGCCTGCGGTCCCGTCGCCCAGCATGTTCTTCGATACGTGCTCGCGACCAGCATCTCGGGGAACATGGAACAATTGTCCTGGCGAAGGACCCAACCGTATGTAGTTCTGAATAACGCGTTGTGGGTGCCGCTTCTTCCCAGTGGGCCACGCAACGCGTGATGGGGCGTACCGTACTAGGTGGGGGGACGCATGCGGGCGGTCCCGTTGGGGCCTTCGGTGGAACTCCTTGTGGGGCCACGACGCGCTGTAGTGGGCTATGGCGACGCATGCGGGCGGTGCCATTGGGGCCTTCGGTGGAGTTTTTTATATGGGGCCACGTAACGCTGTGCTGCGTGGGGGGCGCTTGCGGGCGGTCACATTGGGGCCGTCGCTGGAGCTCCCTATTGGGCCACGAGGCGCTGTACTGGGGGGTGGGGGGACGCAGCGGTGCCACTGGGGCCTTCGGTGGAGCTCCCTATGGGGCCGCGACACGTTGTAGTGGGTGGGAGGGACGCATGCGGGCGGCCTTCGGTGGAGCTCCCTATGGGGCCACGAAGCGCTGTACTCGGTGTGGCGGGCGCATGCGTGCGGTCCACGTGGGGCCTTCGGTGGAGCCTTCCATGGGGCCACGAAACGCTGATCTGGTTGTGGCGGGCGCAAGTGGGCGGTCCCACTGGGACCTTCGGTGGGTGGCCACGAAGCGCTGTATTGATTTTGGTGGACGCATGCGGACACCCCCACTTGGGCCTTCGGTGGAGCTCCCCATGGGGCCACGGCACGCAGTACTGGGTGTGGCGGGCGCATGCGGGCGCCCCAATTTGGGGCCTTCGGTGGCGCTCCCTCTGGGACCACGGAACATTGTACTGGGTGTGGCGGACGCATGCGGGCGGTCCCATTGGCGCCTTCGGTGGAGTTCCCGATGGGTCCACGAAACGCTGTACTGGGTGTGGCGGGCGCATGCGGGTACCCCCGCTGGGGCCTTCGGTGAGCTCCTTATGGGGCCACGAAACGCCGTACTGGGTGTGACGGGCGCATGCGGGCACCCCCATTGTTGCTTTCGGTGGAGCTCCCTAAGCGGCATCGAATCGCTGTACTGGGTGTGGCGGTTGCATGCGGGCACCCCCATTGACGCTTTCGGTGGAGCTCCTTCTGGGGCCACGGAGTGCTGTACTGGGAGTGGCGGGCGCATGCGGGCACGCCATTGCAGCCTTCGGTGGGGCGCCCTATGGGGCCACGGAGCGTTGTACTGGGTGTGGCGGACGCATGCGGGCACGCCATTGCAGCCTTCGGTGGAGTTCCCGATGGGGCCACGCAACGCTGATCTGGATGTGGCGGGCACATGCGGGCACCCCCACTGGCACCTTCGGTGGAGCTCCCTATGTGGCCACGGTACGCTGTACTGGGTGTGGCGGGCGCTTGCGGACACCCCCACTGGGGCCGTCGGTGGAGCTCCCTATGTAGCCACGAGGCGCTGTACTGGGAGTGGCGGACGCATGCGGGCACCCCCATTGCTGGCTTCGGTGGAGCTCCCTATTGGGACACGAGGCGCTGTACTGGGTGTGGCGGACGCATGCTGGGACCCCACTGGGACCTTCGGTGGAGCCCCCTATGTGGCCACGAAACATGTGAGGGATGTTCCAAAGTGAGGGGTAACGGGGGGGATGGGCGGGGGGAGGAGGAGGAGGAAGAGGAGGAGGAGGAGGAAGAGGAGGAGGAGCAGGAGCAGGAGCAAGAGGAGGAGGAGGAGGAGAAGGAGGAGGCGGAGGAGGAGGAGGAGGAGAGGACAAGAGAGGGGAAGGGAGAAGAGGAGAGGAACGCGGGGACCGTCTCTTCAAAACGAGGACCCATCACCACATGTTGGTTGGAAACAAGTCGAGGGACTGATAGTGGTACTGGTCAAGGAATAGCATGGTCGATCGGTGGCGGGATCACGAGGTAGACGGCGATGCCAATAGGTCGTGGCATCTGCGAGCACATTGTGATAGCATCGCGAGGCCAACCTATGTGCATATGGAATAAACGAATATGTTAACCAGCGCTGGCCCAGCACACTTATGTTCCTAACAATATATATATATATATATATATATATATGTTGTGTGATGCATGTAATGTTATATAGACAGTGCTAAATTCGCGGTGCAATGCATGCGGTGTCCCCTATCCTATGTGGTGCAACCCATGTGGTGCAATCTATCTTGTGTCATTTATTTCAATTTGCAGTGAGTTGCCAACTCCGCTGCTCGCGCAATCATCCCACCCACCCGCCCGCAACTTGGTTAGCGAAGCGCATGCGGTGGCGATTGCGATAAGTGCTTGGCGTTCGCTGGTCCATCTCTGCGGCCGCACCAACCCAAGCGCGCGCGCAGCGGCCAGCTATTTTGGCCCGACCGACGCAGTCGCGGTGGCGCTGACCGCTGGGCACATCCCAGCGTGCGCTTCAGTGCGGGTCAGCGACTTGGGCGGGCGCGATATCATGACAACGTCGACAAGGTAGACGCGATGATAATAGTAGCGATGCTAGTTGCGATGTTGACAACGACGACGGCGCGCCGAATGCGGGCGCCGATGCCAATCACGCCGGCGACTACGTCGGCGTCCTCGCGTCGGTGATGAAGATTTTGGAACGAGTTCGACATGCGCACGCGGCCGACGCGCGAGAGTGGCCCGCATGGTTTTATTTGACACGGATCGTGTCTCCCCAGCGCGGCCGCAAAAGGGCACGCGAATGATTCCAGCATGCTGCGTGAGAGGCCCGCTTGGCAGAATTGCTTGACAATGTAAAACTCATGGTTTCCTCAAGATCTCGCAACAGCGCGAAAGCGCGCTTTTTTGAACATTCATGTTGCGAAACCAACGGTTTTCGTATGTTTGTTTGGGCCGTCGGTTTTGACATTGCTACGACACAGAATTTTTGACGGATTGCAGAATGCGCGCGCGACGACGCGCGCGCGTGTATTTTGTCCCGCGCTTTGGCAACATATGTTCGTGACGGCACGCGCGCACGAACGTTTGAACGATTTCGACACTCGCGCGCGCAAGGCCGCTTGGTTGAATTTGTTTAAGAATTCGCAAGAGCGCGCGTGCAAACCTGTTGTTTGAAAGTCAGCGCTGCGAAGCTCTATGTTTTTTTTTTTGATGTTTTGGACACTCGTCTTTGAAATCCGTACGACACCGACGGCTTGTGAAGGAATCCAGCACGGGCGTGCGACAACAAACGCGGGTGTATTTCGTTTTGTTTTTTGTTTGGCAAATTGTTTGTGGAAATTTGATGCGGTTTGATATGCGGGTGCGCGTGCATAGTACTTTTGCAGAGGATGGTGGGGGGGGGGGCGGGGCGGATACCGCACCCCCTTGCATGGTGCGAGTTCATATTCCGGATGGACGATGCGGAAAATGCACTTGTAACATGCAATACGAAAAGGGTGTGATAACCCCAGAGGGGGTAGAGTCGATTCTTTTCTAGAAACGAGAATGCATGTTGTACAAACGATGGGACGCAACATACGTGGTGCAATCGAGAGTCAATCAATTCAGAGCAGCGCATGGTGTGCTATCTACGTGGTGCAAGCAATGTGGTGCAGTCCATGTTGTGCAGTGTATGTTGCACGGCGCACTCTATGTTGTGCAATATGCGGACTGCCATATATCTTGTGCAATCTATGTGGTACGGGCCACGTGGTGCAATCGATGCGGTTCAAAATATGCGACGGGGCGTCAACGAGGCGGCAACAGGGCGGCGACGGTGAGCACGGGGCCGCCAGACCGGCATTCGGGGGCAC